GTGCTTTCCATAGCAGGTAGATTTTTATGGGGTGGAATATGTGAACATTTCAAACTCCATGAGTCTACAGTGATCATATAATCTAGGCATTGTTGCTGTGGTTTCGTTTATCGGGTGAAATTACGAGCCCGACTCCAACAAGTTTTGGATTCTCTGTTAACCAGAGCCATAGAGCTGAAGGGAGAAGCGATGTGTTTATGCCTTTCCAAGGGTATTTGGCTGAAAATGAAAGCAGCCGTCTTGTCTGTAATTCGAACTCGACCCACCCGTTCTTACTTTCCGCTCCGATTAGCATTATGCGGCGAGCACACCCTTTATATAAAGGATATACACAGTAAACTTTTGTTCTACAGTATATTGCTTCTTTAATCGTATAAAAAGTTAAATTCAGCTGCCTCTCTCTATCTTCATCTCTAAGCTTATTCGTATTAAGTAGAGGAGTATCCCTTTTTTCCTGTTTATGATTGGGATACCAGTTCTTTTTAAAGTCTTTTTCATTCTCCATCACTTCCAGTAGCCCCTTATGTCTTAGAGGTGTCATCGCCTTTCTTGGAGTAAATCGACTTAAAAAAAAGTCTGTCTATTTGTTTGTCACATGGTTACTATATACATATCTGTCTGGTAAACTTATTCCCGCATGAATGTATGTCTACCTCACTTGGTGCTGACTTGCCTATCTGCCTCAACTTGCCCCTATTTTTATGATTATATTTCACACATTATTCCCATTTGCGTATCTCTCTGCATCAGATTTTTACATCTTGTTATAATATAGCTACGGACGATAATGGGTTATGTCCCCAATACAGTAGTAAATACTGTATGTTGGTCGGCGGTCGGAGATTCGTCTCCAGTTGTGCTGGTCAAACTCTCTGCCTCTGGGTAGAGAGGATCCCCAGACGAGTCTCTGTCGAAGGACAGAGTCTCGTCTCGGGAAACGGCTACCTGACCCCGTTTTATATGGGGTATACGGGGAATTTTTGGCCGAGCCTACGGGCTCGGATACTTCACATTAAATTCGACCTTGTGCCACATCTGACCGTGTGGGGTGATTGGTAGATATCCTGCAGTTGGACATCCATTGTGGAATTCACTTGACTCACTTCTGGCAGTTGACTACTACCCCAGTGGAAGAAATAAATGGTTCGGTTCGAAATTCCAAAAGTTCGAAAGTTGTGAATATGGCATTGAAGATGAGGATAACAGTCCGAATAATGTAAATAATGTAAGAAAGAAAGGACTTACTATTAACTGTAAAAAGAAAGCATGTTTGGTTATCCTCTAAAGAGGACCGTGGCGGTGATGTGTATTTGTTGTAGAACAACACATGTGGGTAGAATTTCCTGCTAGCCGGTCCAACTGCATGAGAAAGAAAAAACAAAGAAAAGAAACAAACAAGACCGATAAATTTATGTAAAGTTAAAGGTTACAGGCACATGGACAGTTACATGGACAGAGTGCGTGTGGTGAATATTGTGTGTGTGTGTGTGTGTGTTGTGGTGAGTGTTCGTACGTACGTGTATTGTTCTTAGCGTGTTCCCAGAATTTGGGAAACGCTGTATCTGTGAGAGCTCACATCTGCGAGGTGGTATAAGGCCGAAAGCCTGAGGAAAAAAAGAGATCGAGGCGAAGGGTCAGCCAGTATTTGTAGCCAGGGTAGAGAGACCCCTGGTGAAGGGTTAAGGAACTGAGGAGGAGCTAACTCCGACAATCCCCTAAAGGGACATCCCAAGGTGTGAGCTATGAATTGGAGACATCAAAACCAAGCCGATACTGAAACTTAGCTACTTGGCTAGCGTGATAATAGGTAATGGGAAATGTGACACAGAAATGCAAAGGCAAAACGAAATTGCGAGAGATGCTTTCCTTTCCAGAAACTAATTAAAGAGACAGAAAATCTTCATTAGAGAAAATAAAAGGTTAGATTATTTATATGCGGAGTATTGACCCCATTTTTATTGATGTTATCACAACGTTTCGGTTGGTTCGCTGCTTGTATTTTTAGCGTCATTTCAACCCACATGTGTTTATTTAATACCGAAATCCAAATATTAAAATGCAAACTTTATAATGCAAACTTTATAATTATTTCAAGAGAATAGCATTCTTTCATGATTAAATTATGTTTTTTACAAATAATCTTACAAAATCGAACAAGAATCAAAAACTTGTTTCATCTTTTTTTCTTTTTTTTTTGACAATGAATGCCATGTCTTCAAGTTGGCTATAAAACGTATTATTTTCATTTTACTATAAAAATGTATTGTTGGTATTTTTACTATAAAAATGTATTGACGGTATTTTACTATAAAAATATATTGATGGTATTTTACTATGAAAATATATCGATGGTATCTTACTATAAAAATGTATTGTTCGTATTTTTACTATAAAATGTATTGATGGTATTTTACTATAAAAATGTATTGTTGGTATTTTTACTATAACAATTTACTGATGGTATTTTACTATAAAAATGTATCGTTGGTATTTTTACTATAAAAATGTATATTTTTATACTTTCCTAGTTATTTTACTTTAGTTTAATGTTTCACCATTTGCTCATAGCTGAGACCCTAACAGGTGCTACCACCGGGGAGACTTGGGAACAACGGCAATTAAGAGATTCTTTCACTTTTCTCCAACAGTCTAATCTTCCGATCAAAGGTTTTGCTGCCAGATGTAGTTCATCGTCATACTCAGGAGGACAACGTTTCGGTTGCTAATAAAGGACGACAAATGACAGCAGGTTTTCAACAGCAGGATCAGTAACAAAAGTTAAGCTTCGGCGAGTGCAGTCAAGCAATACAAGCAACAACAGCACCCATGAGCGGTCAGGTTAAGTTTAGAGATTAATGTTCTCCACAAAGAATAGTCCCGAGTGGATTACAGAACTGGATCGTGAATTTGCTGGTATAGTGATTGTGATTTCAATCCCTGAGCCGGGCAGTGTGTATTTGAACTCGGTGTAAACGGGGCGAGTAATAACTGAGCAGTACTAAAAATAAAAACTAGAGGAGATATCCCTAGACAGAATCAGCGAAACGGGATCAGTCAACGTCCGTAGATTATATAAAGGTCACACGGATCGCCGGTTGAAAGGTTATGATATGAGACTCAGTGGAAACGAGGTGTGTAATAACTGAACAGTACTAAAACTAAAAACTAGACGAGATATTCCTAGAAATTGACAGTGAAGCGAAAACGGTCTGCTGCGTAAATTATGAAAAAGAACTCGATGAAAGATGCAGTGAAGCAAGCACAACCTCCCCACTTAGATTTAATAAAAGGTCCAGTTCGAAAATCTCAGTAGGCCAATCCTGTTCAACATACACCTGTCGAATGCCGGAAGGTACAACAGCCGAAAAGTTGTGATAGCAACATCAAAGATATTCCTATTCTGCGATCCATTTACTCAAACATATTATTTCGGTTGCAACAACAATTTAATCAATTCTCCTATGTGGCAATGAATGCTGGAAAATGTCCCCCGAAACAAGCGGCAGAGATGTGGTTCTACCGATCAATGTTGAAAATACCATGAACAGATCATGAAAGCAAAAATGAAGTTTTAAGAAAAACAATTAGATCGGTAGAGTGGGCTGAAAATTGTCTGACAGAATGAGAAATAAAGGCATGGAGAATTTAACACTCACATGGCACTGAAGACAAGAAAAGTCGACGGCAACTGGGAGTAAGCCACTTAAAAAGTTTGTGTGAATGGACGGGAGAAGACGGGCAAAGTGGGATCGTAATGAGCCCCAAAGTCACTTAGAGCAAGAAAAGCCAGGGAGATTTGGAAAGCTATTATCGCTCACGTTCCGAAGGTTAGGTGATAAAATTTTATTTGGTTAATCAATTGACTCTTTCCGTTAAGTTTTGCTGATGTATACTTGAGTTATCAAGCTTCTTTTTTATGTGACATGTCCCAGCAAGGCGTAGGCAACGTTGCCCTCTACAACTTCCCATCCCTTGTCGCTCTTAATAAATTTTGTCTTTTTGTTATTTCTCCTAATCCCTGTCCTAACATCTATTTACACAAGCCTATCAAATATCTTATGTTTTCCTCTGTTCTTCTTTCCTTCAATCTGTCCTGTGAGTATCAGACTTTTTAAGGCTTCTTTCCTCATTATGTGCCTTAGAAATTTCAGCTGTCTCTTCAAGTAGGAGTTTCCATTTTGTTTCCATTTTCTGTAAAACCTCATCGTTGCTTGTGGTATGTTCGATTTGTGGTATCCTCATCATTCTTCTGCATAATCACATTTCTGTTGCTTCAAGTCTTTTCTTCATCTTAGAGATTGTTCAGCCTTCACTTAGGCAATTAATTATCTTTTTAAAACGTTTTTCTCCTCGTGCACGCACAAGGTTAATGAAAATACCTAGATTTAGCCTTGTTTCGTCAGTGGAAGGAATATTTTAAATTAGCCATTTCCTGTTTTACGTTTATATGTTTTTTTCTTAAAACTACTTTCCTCTTTTTTTCTTACCTACAGATTGAAGTTCCCAAACATCTAAAGTAAATTAACCTGTCCTCTAAGTGAGCCGAATAGTTTTACAGACGCGGCTACTTTACGTTTTTATAGTTCGCTGGTATGGAGCCATTGGGAGAAAAAAACAAATAAAGAAAATAATAAAAGGCTGTAAAAACGACATCTTAAAAAGAGCATGCGCTTATATATAACTATATATAAGTGTATTTTGTTTAGAGTTTCCTTGAAAGTACAGAAAAATGATTGATGCTTTGTCCTTGGTAAGATCATGTTTTTGACAGGCACGACAAGAATAGTATAGCGGCGTTATCTAGACGAGACTTGCATGAAACTGACTTAGACGATAATTTCTTTTTTTAAATTATTTTTCAAGGTTTTGGAATGTATGAGGAGTTGAAAACAAGAACATTCTTTTAAACTGTACAAATTTATCCAACCGCAGTATAAAATGAAAGTGTAGATAATAGTAAGTATCAAAATAATGATACACTAAATCACATCAAAATACACATTGAAACACTGACTCCCGTACAATCAGCGAAGTTAAGCAACGCCGAGCTTGGGCAGTACCTAGATGGGTGAGCCTTTGTAAATACCAGGTCCTGTAAGCTTGAATTTGCGAGTAGTGTAATGGATAAGGACTCGGAATTGTTAATCAGGGAAACGAGTTAATCTCATTATATTCCCTTACGTGCCAATTTCATTGCGAAAGGTAGGAATCCAACTCTTTCCCCCTAGCTATGGATTAATTAATAAGTCTTCTATTAACCATTATTATCTCAAAAATACTTATAATCTAAAACTATTTGCTGCATTTAAATAACCTGTAAAGGGTTGATAAAACGTAAAAAAACGAATCAATCAATCAAAGTACGAGACTAAGCGCAGTGACACAAGGCCAGGATGCAAATATGAAGCATCAAGTTGGGATCGAATTCATTAGACATACGGAATTAATCTAGCGATCCTTAATCACTGATTTAATAAGTGTAGCTTAGATGTGGCACAAGGCCGCGATTATGGAACACCGAATGAGGATCAAAAATCACTATTCAGTCGTAATTCATCTAGCGTGATGAGCCTGCTAATCATTACACAACGCTAAGGTACCCGGGTGATTCTTTAAGCGTAGCTCAGATGCGACACAATGCTGCATATAGTACCCAGTGAGGATCGAACTCACCACTCAGTCATAATTAATCTAGTTTGGTAACTATTACACCATGTCGAGCTACCCATCCATGTAAGACGTGTTCAGAAGGTTTATAGAAACAAAGGAAGGAGACGAGGGACAATGATATCTTGAGGATTGAGCAAAAGAATTCGGTTCTTTTTAAATGTCAATTCTTTTCAGGGTATGGGCGATTATTCTTTTTTTTTCTTGCTTTTAATATTTTTTTAAAAAATTCATTATCATCCTTTTTTTGTCTCTATTCTATTGTCCATTGACACAAACTCATTATGGCGGTTATTTCACAAGATAGACATTTTCGAAACGTTACAAGTGTCTCAATACTATGGCAAATGTTCAAATGAACTACATTCCTTAGTTCCGCCAATTCACATTTATTCACATTTATGAGCCGCCATGTCGTGTTTACAGCGTCAAGTAATCTCCATTCGTTTCGCATTCTTTTGGTAAGAGCTAAGTTATACTTGGATAGCTTCAACCACAGAGCTATTACTTTGTGGGACAACTCCCGAGAGATAATTCTCCAATCACTACTATCTTAACCTCATCCAGTCTGGGATCAACCGATATCTATCCTACATACTTTAACTTTCACTTCTTCATTCACACTCCATTACGCAGTTACAAAAAATCTCACTCAGTAATACTCTACTTTGAATGGCTCTTGGGGCTTGTGAATGAAAGTAAAAAAAAAAAAAACAGAAATATAGATGTGGAATTAACATCCTTAATTTTTATGATGAAAAAAGAGTACGTGACACGACTGCATTCATAGCACCTCTTTGCGGCTGCTTGGTCTCATGTTGTCTACTGACCTGAGATGGAACAAATACATTGAGTCAATTGCTTCGTCCACCGCAAAGAAAATTGGCTCCTTGTGCCGCGCCAGGAAATTTTTCTCCCCGGAATCGATCCTTCAAATCTACAAATCAGCCATTCGCCCTTGCTGCCATATGTGGTCTGGAGCCCCTACTGTTTGCCTCGGGGTTCTTGATAAGATCCAGAGACGAATATGCAATATAATTGGCCCTAATCTGGCATCTCGTCTGCAGTCGCTCTCTCACAGACGCACCGTCGCCTCTCTCTGTCTTTTTTTACAAATACTTTCATGATAATTGCTCCGATGAGCTGCATTCGCTGGTTCCCAGACTTTGCGAATTCAAGCGTCCCACGAGGGCTGGCATCCCGCTCCCACCCTTTCACTGTTGAAACTGTTAAATGTAGCCGCCTCTTCTACTCCAATAGCTTCATATCTCGTACCTCTCGCCTGTGGAACTCCCTTCCCTATTCCAGTTTCCCTGAGAGCTATAATCTCCAGCTATTCAAATGTAATGTCAATCGACATCTCCAGTTGCCTTGATCTATCCACTATCCTTCTCCTCATCCTTTCCTCTATCACTCCTATCTACTCTTGCTCCAAATCCTCTGTAACCCCTTGCGTGCTAATGGCTTCCCGCCTTGCTTGGGGTGAAATGCTTAAAAAAAAATTGGAGATCATTGTCTTGTTGTATGGATCAGTTATAAGAAATTTATTATAGGAGATAAAGAAATTGAACATAGAATAGGCTACGCTAGATGTAGTTTCACACAATACCATAAATTGCTACAAAACTAACACATTTACCAAAAAACTTCAGTCATGTTTTTAACTAGCTTCGTCAGATGGATAAAATAATGTTGGATTAAAAAATCCACTTATGCATGGATGGATCAAAGCCCTTAGACTATTACTTATCAGTTGAATTTTGATCTGAAGTTTTCATTGTATAATGTTTAATATATTTTACTAATATTCAATACTGAATTGAGTGACTGATTGATTGATTCTTTTTTACGGCTTATCAACCCTTTGTAGAAAATATTTTTAGATTATAAGAATAACGATTTCTTTAAATCATATATTTTTCTCAGATTGAAAACACTTAAACAAAAAATGTGCAGAAATAGAGTAACACCAACAAAGGAGATATGCATAAAGAAATAAGGCAACTAACAGAACAGAAGACATGCGCGTCAACATGCTGCATAAAATCAAAGGATGGAATACTCACATGAGAGAAGGAAAAAATTCTTCAACCCTGGAGCGAATATATTGTAGAACTCTTCCACGACGAAAGAGAACAACTAGCAATACACAGAACTACCGACGGACCTGAAATTCTAAAAACCGTAGTAGAAGCTGCACTGATGAAATTGAATAGAAACAAGGAGGCAGGGCCAGATGGAATTGTAACAGAAATGCTGACAGCCTTAGATGACTTTGGCATAGACAAGATCACAGAAATAATAAATGAAATCTACAACAGTGTGGATATACCGGAATATCTCAGCAGATCTTGTTTCATAGCAATACCTAAGAAACTAGGCGCAAACGAATGTGAACTCCACCGAACAATCAGCCTAATGAGCCACATCATCTGTTTTCTGAAGAATAGAGCGCGCATTAGAATCAGGCCAGAGATAGGACAAAAATAGTGCAGGTTCGTTAAAGACACCAGAACAAGGAACGTGATATTCTTCCTCAGAATATTATTAGAAAGAGCGATACAAATGCAGAAGAACGTGCACCTATGTTTTATAGACTACACAAAGGCGTTTAACAAAGTACGCCACAAAGATCTATTGGAACGGCTCAGCAACTTTGATATATTTGGGAAAGATAGAATAATCAAGACCCTATACTGGCGGCAAACGGCCTGCATGCGCATAGAGAACGAGTTCAGCGGATATATAAAAATAGAAACGGTCGTAAGGCAAGAATGTGTCTTTTCACCGGACATTCCACCTATACAGAGAGGCAATTGGACATCCTACCAGGATTCATCACTGGCGGCCACCACCTTAACAACATAAGATATGCAGATGACACAGTACTGATAGCAAACGCGGAAAGGAAAGTACAAAAGCTCCATACAGAAGGCAGCGAAAGAGAGCGAGAAGAACGGACTAAGCATAAACTACAAGGAGAGAATGTATGGTCATCAGTAAAAGGATGAGCCCGAAATGCGATTTGCAGGTCAGGGACACTAAAATCAAGCAGGTGTGGAAGTTTAAATATCTGGGAAGTATTTTGACGGACGATGGAGGACGGTAAATGCGACGCTGAGATCCGAAGAAGTATTGTGATGGCCAAGGACGCATTCCAAAAGCTGGGAAGAGTATTGCGAGCCAGGGGGATATCTTTGGTAACAAAGAAAAGAGCACTGAGATGCTACGTGACATCTGTCCTCCTTTACGGCAGCGAATGATGGACGCTGGCCTCAGAGATGAAGAAGAAACTCGAGGCGACGGAGGTATGGTTCTACAGAAGGACGGTAAGGATATCATGGCCCGAACATGTGGGCAACAATGAGGTTTTGGAGAGGATGCAAACAAGGAGGAAGCATATACTTAACATCAAGAAGAGGCAGCTGAAATTTCTGGGATCCGTAATGAGTGAGAAAGAAGGGCCTGGGTAATCTGATACTCCCAGGTCGAATAGAGAGAAAGAGAGACAAGAGAAAACAACGCATTCCATACCTGGCGGGTTTAAGCAAGTGGATGACAAAACGTGTTCTGGGAGAGGTGGCAGAGGGACGAAACTTTTTTAGAGCTACAAAGGATATGGAGAAATGGAGAGCAATGATCGCCAACGTCCTGAAGGGACACGACACATAAAAAGTAAAGAATGACAACTGATTAGCGATATGATATGATTTATTTTAAATCGAGTGACTAGCAGCTGAATGATGAACGGATAATAAACGTTTTAAAATGGCTAAAAAATACTAAATAAGAAATATCAACATTTTGCATATAATTTCTATTTAAATATGTTTTAAGCATTTCACCCCAAGCAAGGCGGGAGTGCCACTAGAACGCAGGTGGGTTATAGAAAGTGAAAGTGAGAGAAAAGATTGTGTATGTGGGTGGGGTTGAGGAAAAGATGAACGAGGATGAAGACAACAGAATATGGTGATTGAGGTTGCATTTAAATTATTGAAGATTGTACTTATCAGGAAAGCAAGTAAGCGGAAGGGAGTTCCGCTGTCGAGAAGTGCGAGAAATGAAACTGTTGGAGTAGATGTAGCGGTTACATTTATTGCTACAAGCCTTGCTAATTAACCCAGACGAGAGGAAAACGCCGTGTTGGTTCATAAAGTTTCCTCTTGTCTTTCAATAACCACACAAAAAGCTCATTCATGAGTATGAAAGGATCCTAGTGAGAATAAACAGACAGAACATGTCTAAATTATTTAACGAATCCTGCCTTAATATATATATATATATATATATATATATATATATATATATATATATATATATATATATATCCGAATGTAATGAGAACGAAATAATATATAAATTCTAACGTTCACAGCATTAATTCAAAAGTTGGCTCAATGCCGAGAGTGGAGCAATAATTATTTATCATAAT